ACGAATGCCAAGTCCATGGTATTCACAAATACTCTAAAGAAATAAGTGTAGTTTACTCTGTATGCTCCGCTTGTCACCACTGTATCGGATTGATCAGGTTTTTAATAACTGGGATGTGAAAATGTATCGGTTTTGAAAGTTTTCATGCGGTTTTCGGTTTTGATCGAATTTTTTTTCGGTTTTTCGGTTCTTGATGATTTTTTTTCTACGGTTTTGCGGTTTCTAATAAGCCCCAATGCCCCCCTCCTTTTCAGTCTTTTTTCTGGAGCTCTTTGTATTTCCTTTTTTTGTTGCTCTTCGCTAGATATTCGACTTTTTACTTATGCCTTTTCTTGTTCTCTTTCGCTTTCCTCTCGCCATATTCTGCCTATTTTAGCGTCCTTTCTAACTTTTATCCGCGTTTTTCTCGACTCGCTTTACGCCTTTTACTCCTTGCTTTCTTTGGTCGCTCCTTTTCTTTCTTTCCGGCCTACTTTACCCAAAACCCTTTCTCCACAGACTTAAATTATAACAATTTCCTCCGGTTGACAAAGCTTTAGCTCTGTTGGTATTGTTGCTTTGCGAGTTGATTAAAAACCGCAAAATACTGAAAATTAATGTTCAACTACTACCTCACCAGTTCGATTTCCCGCTCAAAACGCGTGTTGCAAGTTATTTGCTTACGCGGCTTCGCATCTACTAGCTCACGTGAAGTCCTCGTGTAATGCCTAGCCGTATGCCCACGGTACGCTGCACTAAAGCTCGGCACTCGAGTAGGCGCACTTCATTGTGATCTGCCAGTGTCTCCTGGCACTAATGGGGTATCCTAGTTACGCACGCAATATCGCCTCCGCATTACCTTCTCCTTTACCCTTCCATCACGTAATAGCTAAGAACGTGCCTGCAATGCACTTGGCCACGCATACTAAAAGTAGCACCTTGTACGGTCAGTCGTATGGTCGTAAGGTCGTACGTTCAAATTTTTTCGGCTTGATGGGTTACTACTATTTTGTATAATTATGGGGCTA